AAGTGGGACCCGGGTCGTTACATTATATCACATCAATAACTTTTCCTTCTTTTTGAATCACATATTTTCCATCAATCTACTATTCCAGTATACATTCTTCTTAAATAATATGGCCAAACACACCCTAAATTAGCAAAATTATCTATTTGATATTCATACAAATCGCATCCACAAAGAATAATCTATCAAATGATCATTTTTGATTGTATAAAAACTACAGCACTTTTGTACGCCACCCAACAAGTGCACATCCATCAGAACACAAGCAAATTAAGCCCAAGTTTAGCCCCCATTAAAATCATAATTTACTTCTGTCTCTTTTTATCAATCACGCATTCTTTAATTAAATGATATTACACGTAATCTCAAAACTTTTTCTTCTTTTTTAACCACGGATTTAAAAAAAAAAAACACTATTCCAACCATTAAAATTTCAAATAATGGGGGTCAGACAAGGCTTAAGAGTTACACTGAAAAATTAGCATTTGTTGAAGTTTGACTCAACTTTGATTGAGTTTTGATGAATTAGTTGAGGTGGGCCTTGGAGAGGTCAAAATATGGACCAATTAATGATTTCGGCATTTTTCTGCTTATTGCGCACTGAAAATAAGGAGCCTAGCGCTTGCTCACTGTCAACACGTCACTCTCTCATCATTGCCTGGTGCTCGAGCACTGCTGTGTTTCGGCCGAAGATTGTTTGCTTTATTCCACACGTATTTTTTATATTCTTTCTATCTATAATACTATAATTAGGGTTTGACAATGTATCATATATAGTTGGCTTTTCATTACAAGTTTGATAAGTTGGATAATATTGTAAACACAATATCTTTGTATTCTTTCTCTATATTATAATGATTTCTCATTTCCTATGTTAAATCTTTTGTGTTCTTCTTATGTTGTGATTGCTACTTCATATTGTGTCATATAATCTCATCCCTATTTCCTAACATCAAATCATCTCGATAATATGTGAACAATCGTTTTCTTTGATTTAATATCAATGTTAATATGCAACCTTAAAGAGGACAAAATTGATATTTGGTTATTGGGACGGTTGCAACAGCTTCTACTACTGGTTTTGGTATGGTGGCAACTTCAAGTGCTGGGGTAGAAAAGATAAACTAGAAGCGAAGGAGAAGATGGTGACGAGTTGAAGGGGAGAGGTTAATATTGATACTTGATAAAGATGATGTGACATATTATGTTAGTGAAGAAGGATGGGGTAGGATTATTGATGGTGGTGGGAGTTAGCTGGAATGATAAAAAAAAATGACATAATTTGTTAGGAATTTACTTAATCATGTATAGTGAAAAATAAAATAATTTTAATTCTCACTAATGATCTTCTTTGTGTTTAGACAGAAATTATGATAGGAATTATACTTTTTATAGATTCTGCAAATTCTTTGCTGATCTTGAAATATAAACAATTACGATCTACAATCCACAGCTGTCATTTGTCCAGTTTTTAATAAAAATCCACACAATGAATAAGAATGAGATAATTATGTTTTCTCTTTTCTTGTGCAAACAAAATAATTAATCGTGTTATGTTCAGAATTTTCAAACCCTAGCAACCTATAAATAAAAGTCCAAGTGAGTTTAGCCCATCTCTTAAACTTAACATGATCCAATATTTAATTAATCTATTAATTAAATTTAGTTCATGAATTAATTAATCAAATTAATTAACTCGTGTCTATTAACAAGCAACTCAATTAATCAATTGTACAACACTTATTAATTAATTAATTGGTGAATTTCATTCTTCTAGTTCTCCCTTTGTGTGTGACTCATTAGGTTCCCGACCACGATATCTAACGACGTGAATTATTATTTTTATATAATCAAAATCGATAAACTAAAATACCCCATTTTAATTTATCATCAATTCAAATTGACATATAACAATGTGTCAGGGCAATACATATAACGGAAAATGTCACATTGTATAACAAAATCAAATTTGTTCATTTATCGTGAAACTTTATCATTTCGTCAATATAATCTGATCAATTACGAGATATGAATATGTGTCAATATCAATTATCGATCATATATCTCATCTCACTATTAGGTCAATGTAAGTCGAAAACTCTTTTCGACTTATGAGTACACATTGGTCAAGGATTTCGTTATCAACTTAGTTGAAATATAGATCATAATATCTTACTATCTAAGAGTGACGAATCTTCTATTGATCATTCACAACCTTAATGTGATTCTTGACATGCTCGAACGATACCGTACTAGCGACCTTTTATAGAGCAACATCCAATATCACCAAATTATGACTGTCCTCATATAATGTACTATTATGACCTCAAGTAGAAGAACCAATTTTACTACCGAACGTTAGAGGTTAACCACGACACCCAGATAATTATCCATGTGGAATCTCCACAAGTGGTCTTCTATGTTTTGTTCTATAACAAAATATCAACATGTTCATTTAAGTGTCACCATACTTTAACTTGTGAGATTAGTTACTTACTTCATAAGTAAGAAATGTCTCACATGCAGATCTATCTGTAATAACGATATTCGTATCTTGTCATTACTTATGACCACGGAAGATATAAGATTCAGTTATTGTCATTTGTATCTCATAATCACAACTCTTAATGATTAACAAATTACTAACACTTGAATCTACGGATTATATTATTTAATTTATTATAATATTAACTAAATTAAATAATAGATCTGCCATAAATGAAACACGTCAATTAGATATTTAAAGTATTCATGTCCAAAGTTGATTGTACATATGGCATAACACTTACATAATTAACATTAGAGCATGGATATAGCAAAAGTTGGCTGAAAGGCACTCAAATTTAGATGGAAAACTGAGGGGAGAGAGAATGACGAGCTGAAGTCAGCAATGGTGGATTTTGGTGGTGATGTTAGGTTAACGGAGATTATTTGCAGCAGCTAGAGGAGCAGTTGAGAATACAAGATGATTCTGGGAGTACCTAGAATGGCCATTCCTGAAGTTGTGGATGAGAATTCCTATATTTGCATGGGAAGACTTGTCCATGAGATTTTTGTCTTTTCCATTTAAGCCGTTACTTAGGCCAAAATAATGTTTTAAATAGTGATTTTTAAGAGAATATGTGGTTAAAAAGTAGGAAAAAAGTTGAATTTACATGCGGAATATTTTATTGTGTGAATGTATGGTTAAAATTTGTACGTAAAAAATAGTTTGTAAATAATGGTCGTCAAATAGAGACTAATCAACATATCAATAATAAGAAAGAAAAAAATACCTTAAATAAGCATATACCTCGATATGTTTTTCTTTTTGTGAAATTCACTATCTACAAACATGGATTTGGTTCCTCATTCTTGCTGGCTACAAGAATTTTTCCCTTGTAGAAGCAAAGCAATTTCTTCTTATAGTATATACACGAAAGCTGTAATATTTTGTTCGAAAGACAACTTCATATTTTGAATTTGTTCACTGTTTCTATGTTGAAATTGTGAAGATTGGATGAAGATTATAATTATTGGCCGTTGGACACCCTGCACTATACTATCTCTTTTTGGACAGTTCATTTATTTTCTGCTGTATCACAAATATTGGCCTCTTGAATTAAATGAAGAATCTCCCACTGATACTTTTCTTTCTCGTAGCACGCTGTTGGCCCTGCGAATCAAATGGAAGATCAGGAATCTGCAATCATAATGCAAGATAACCAAACAATCTGTGCTAAGTATATCCTTGATGCACTGCACTCACTGATCATGCTTATGAGCACAGAATAAGGGACATTTTCTTTCCAAACATGTTTGGATAACTTAACATTTTTCTTAAAAGTTTTTCGAAAGTGACTCTTACATTACTGTCAAAATAAGTAACTTATTTCCTACATTCACTAATAAATTAATTATTTATTTGACTTTTTAAGTTTAGCCAGCCGAGCTATAAGCTAATCGATCCTAATGACAAAAAAAGCAACTACAACAGTCAAGGATTGTGCTATTTGTCTTGGAGCATCATATAATAAGATGAAGTTATGTGCTTAACTGAGCTATATTATATTTGTTCCGTGAAAGTTTTGTGATATAGCTCTCCAAACCCTCACATTTTGTGATTGTTTCTGCAGGTGAATCGTCTGAGGACGGAGATGAAGGAAGCACGATGCGAGTATGCTCAATTATTGTTAAGAGTCGAAATTACAGGAGAAAGTTAAACAAGAAAATAAAGGAGTAACTTAGACTAGTCTTGCTTATTCTTCCTATGTAAATACTTGTGATTTCCTCACTTTAATGCTGTTTTCAGTTACCTCTCTCCTATCAAGGAATTTTTATTTTTATTTTAAGTGCTTGGGTTTCCAATGAGTTCCAAAAGAAGTGAATATATCTTGCTTATTATTGTAGTAGGGTGTAGGGGTGATGATAAAATGTTCTCTCACCATCTCAACTTGTCTAGAACGAGGTGCTGATAGGAAACATGAACAAAATGATCCTCGTTTATTCGCTACAAAAAACTAACTACAGCAAATGGTAAATATAGAGTGACCAAAATGAAGAAAAGCATAAACTTGCTGTCTTTATTCAAAGAGAGATCATTTTGCAGCTAACATAATATTGTTGAAACCATCATTTTGGTTAATATTTTTGCCAAGCTCACATTTGGAATTTCCTTCCATTAGGCTTTAAAATCACCCGTAGGAGCACAAGAAAATAGATGCTAATAGCTACGCTATGATAGTAATATTTCAACGTATATCCTTCTCTGTTATTGATATATTTATCATTAAACTACAAAAATCATAACGTTTACATTATCTGTTTTCATATTAAAGAGACTAAATTCGTACAAACCAGCCCATAAAGAGAGTATCCATAAACAAAATTTCAATTGACAACCGCCTACAGGAACAAAAGAGTTTCCACTGTTTATCAAAAATCTCAATACTAAAAAATAGCAAATATCACATAAATAAAAAAATGGCCAACTATTAACTGATTTCTATCGAATTTCTGACTTATGCACGAACTCCTCGGTTGAGATTAACCATCCGGGTCAATGTATCCATCTGATTTCCCCTAACGGATGAACCAGATTGGAACATTCGACCAGGCCCATCTTGATATCTTGAGTTCTGGTAGCCACCAGATCGCGATTGACCCATCCGATCCCTCGAAAAGTTACCCCCCGATGCTTGACCGGAAGTTGATGATCTGCCACCGCCATATCCTGTTCTTCCACCACTGCTGCCTAGCCGTCCCTGTGAGAAGGAAAACTCTTGCCACCTACCACCGGAGCCTGAAGCAGCTGCTACAGCGTAATCCTGCCCATCCCTACGTCTGAGAGGGAGACCATCCAATCCTCCACCGCCGATCCTTGTTTCAATTGCTCTCTCGTTAGTTTCTGCAAGAACTGTGAGCTTTTCTGTCAACTGGAATGCTAAAGCCTGCAATCTACTATGCTCGACTGCATGGAAGACGATGCAGCCAGTTGGTTGGTCCCAACTTGCATGAAGCTCCTCGTTGATAATCATCTTGCTCACAATGCTATGAGTTTGAGAATCGGAAAGGTCAAACAACTTGGCAAGATGGTCTAAGCTCAGGGAATCGTAAGAGGACGAATACGTAAAAAGGTAGGTCCTCAGAGCCTCTTCCTTGATTTTAGCCTTAAGCATCTCAAGAACATTATCTTTATTACGAAGCAGCCTCCAGACATCAAGGGACTTGATAACAACAAAAGCCCCAGTGAAATCACCCTGCCTGAGGGCCCTTGTGGCTGCCATTACATGGTCCCTGACAGTTTCGGGAGGGCCAGTGTACGTTTGCCTCTCACTTACTTCGAGCAACCTTCGGAAAGACTTGCTTATGACCTTACGTTTGGCATCATGGCTATTGGCTGCCATGTTGGGAACCTCCAGCAACATAGCACATATCATATGGACTGCCTCAAGAAGTTCAAGATTTATATGCATGTGGTAGGGCATTTGTCGCCTCCTCTCCAGTCGTTCCTGAAAATTTTCAATCATTTACCAGAATAAGTGCAATTGATAACACTTGTAAAAGCTACAGCTACATCCGGAAGCCAAATACACATAATAAGGATGCTAATATTTATAACCAAATGTAATATTGACCAATTCAAGTCCACCTCAAGATATGAGGCACAAAAACACCTTTTTCAGCAGTTCTAGAAAGAAGCACTGCACGTTTAACAACTTATCATTCAATATTATAAACGACAATTATGGTATCTCTGACAAAAGGGGGAAAAAAACTGGCAAGGCACGAGACAAAAGGGCTCTCATTGGCAAACGTGTTGACAATTCTAAATCACAGACCTTGGATATACTATAATTCAATAAGAAAAAAAGTGATTGATAAAAAAGAAGTAATACCTGTTCTGGCGACTTCTCGTGATATCTGCTTTGGGAGACACCTTGGGCGAGCAATTCCTTCACCCTGCCAGCAGAATACAGTTCTGCCAGGCAACTATGGCCCTCAGCAGTAAGTCCCATCCTAAATGCACAGAGACCGAGCTGTGACATAGCTCTATTGAAAAGTATTTGGGTAGAAATATCCATGTGTTGAATACTATCCTGTAGGTGACTCATGAGAAACAAGTCGCGAGATATTGCAAATTCATCAAAGATGGCATGGTGATATATATCGCAAAGCATTGCACGAGCCTTAGTCCGCTCATCGCCATACTTGTATATGAGTGAAACAAGGATGTCCATTAAGGTCCTGCTATTCTCTGGAAAGGTAGGTTTCCGGGGCACCAACTCAGGAGTTACGATAAAGGCCGGTGGACCTCTACTTTCCTCAACAGCTTTGGTTTCCTCTCCAGACTCCATTCCTCCATCATCCGATTGCTCGGCCAATTTCCTCATCGCATCATACACCTCCTGCGGTTTATAATATATGAGTTCAACACGCTTAAGAGCTACCTTTGAAGCACCCTTATAGTTCTCAACTCCTTCCAGATACTCCTGGACAATCTGAGCAAGAACTAGGAAAACAGGCTCATCCCTAAGCCTCTCAATATATTCACGTGTGTGAGGATCAATAACCTGAAGGCTCTTAAAAAATTCCACATCTATCCTTTCAAGGAATGCTACCAAATTTCCCCAAATCCGAATAGTCCCATCAAAGTCAGCACCCTTTTGGGTCTCGTTTTCATCAGGTTCCACCATATCGTCAACCACAATATTTGGATACTTCGTTAAAATATCAAGTATGGCAAGCATATTCTGCACACACTGTTTCCAGACACTGATTGGCATATGCCCACTCAAACTAGTATTAACATCGAACTGTGCAGAAACAACACTGAAGAGAATTTCAAGCTTCTGAGCAGGGGTTTTAGCGACCCTTGTTAAGAAAGTGAGCTGCTCAACCAACTCAATTCTTCCTGTCCCTTTCCTACCCCTAGCAGCTACAATCTCCTTAAACTTCTTGTTGACAGTTTCCCAAGTAATTTGGCTAGGGTCCTTGAACTGCTTATCCATCATCTTATCCTTCTTACTCAACATCTTCTCCCAACCAGATCCACTCTCAACTGCCTCCTTTTCCATTTCTTCTTCATCCTCACTCCCCTCCGATTCCCGGTTCAGAAGGTCCTCATCGTCAAGATCTGAACCTTCCTCATCATCCTCTTCATCCTCCTCTTGCTCATCCTCTTCTTTTTCCTCAAAAAGGTCCGGCTTCTCTCTGTACTTGTTAATCAAATCCTCATACTGCTTATTGTTCTTCTTAAGCTTTTGTTTCATCGAATTCAAGGCCTTCGCATTACTACTGCTCATCTTCTTCTTTGCCTCCTTATTGGCCAATGCCTGATTTAAGAAATCCTCCAACATAACAAGAGATTTGATGTAAAGATTCGGAACTCTATCTGACTCTGTGACCCTCATAACCTTCTCCAGCTGCTTATTGATCTTGTCAAAGCTTTCTTGGAGGCTCACCCAGTCATTGATTTTCATAGCATTTTTCATCTGATCAACAGTGGCAGCCATCTCCTCGAATCGCTTGTCCTTAGCAGATCGCACAACGCGCTTCTGCCCATCCGAGTCATCACTATCGCTAGCTTCAGTCTGCAGATACTTGCTGCCACCTGCAACTGCAGTTGTCTCTACTGGTCCTTCTTCCTGCTCATCATAATCACTACTCTCCTCCTCCGTGTCACTGTCACCCTAAAATCCAGAAAAAAATTAACACTTTAAAGATTTCACCTTCAACATGTAAATGCATGCGCTCAGACACATATAAAAGTGTACGCTAGTCCCACCAGCTATCTCTAAAATATAAAATTTAATTGTATTTCAAATGCTTTATTTACTTAAACAAGAAATTGGCACAGAACTATAATTTTAAAAATGATTTTTCTACTGTAAAATGAAAATTGAAAATGCATTCGTATCCAAATTCATATTTAATCCCCCCAGGAAAAATAACGAACATTTATAAACATGGATCAATAATCAAAACTCAGACCTCGTAAAAACTAAGAAACTGAATAAATTCTCGAAAAAGATTAAATCTTTTGAAACTAAATAAACCAGAATAAGCAAAAATGTTACTAATTTAAACAGACAGCAAAACAAACCTGAGTCCAAAATCTCGACGCCATTTTCTCCGCTAAAGTACTATTCAAATATAAAGTTTCGGCAATAAACAACCTGCAACCAAAAATCAACAAAACAATAAAATTAAATATAGTGCACTAAAAACTCCAAAAACAAAACCAAATCTTCGCACCAATTCTTCTAAAAACATCAAATTCAGATCCATAACCTAATTATTCACCAAAACTTACAAAATAAGAATTCACCTAAATATATATATACACATAGAGAGAGAAGTCGAACCTTAATTTAGTCCCGAAGCTTGGTGAGAAAATATGAACTATAGGTACAAAGAGATGCAAATTGAGTGGGATTTGTAAAGAAAACCCTAATGGCGCTTTGTGGAATGAAAAATTGACGGTTCCGATTGACTTCTCTCTGCTACGGGATAGGTTCCGTATTCACGGTTTCGATTCGTATTGTCAATTGGGCCGTTAACTCGAAAAAAT